AAAAAAGAAAAAAAAAGAAGAGAAATAGATAAAAAAATAATTTTAGAATGATAAATTATTTAGTAAGCTTATAAGGTGTTTATTGTATACCGTATAAGATACATCAAAATTAACATACAAATCGAATTCCATATTCAAGAAGATAAGCTTCATATTTTAGTATCAAAATATTAATTTGATTATATGCTTAAAAATTTTGGTATTAAATTTGTACATTATTCAATTCTAGCGTCACAATATCACTTCGTGATATAATGTAATTTAATTCTCATCTTATATATTTGACTTATGAAACAAATATGACAAATCAAGTATATGCAAAAAATGTATATAATTAAATTATATTTTTTGGGTGAGGAGAGGAGTATAAATTTCTTCATACTGATTTATGCTGTTCTCTCATTATAAAAGAGAGAAAGAAAATACAAAAAAGGAAATAAATATGAGCTTTCAACAAGTTTATCAGTATAGAATGTTTCTTAATAATTTTAACTTAATATTTTTTTATACCTTTATAAACTGCCTCGACCACATAATTTAGAAGAAACAAATATTTAAATATAATCATTTATGTGAACAAATTCTTTTTTTTATAAGCATGACAATTGTTTGAAATATTTCATCTAATCGTAAAAAAACTGCATATATGCACTTTAAATATCTAACATTTTAATAAACTATAAATGGCTAATATATTATTGGAAGCATGCATAGTAATAAATTATATTAGACAAATACAATAATGAAAACTCTTCATTTGAAAATATTTCTGAAATGGTAGCCCTGGGGTTTGGTAATCACGTGCAATGTCCGTTTTTATGAAAATTGGGTTTAAGACTATCATGGTCTTGACACAATTTCGAACCTTCAAGTGCAAGGCTCAAAAATGCTATATTAAATCGGTTATTATAATACTTTATCAATCAACATTGCACAATATTAGCCAATCTCAAGGATAAAATAAATATCAGGGTTGATATACAGGTCTGGCCTCAACTTATTTGATAAACCTGCAGAGATATCTATAATAGGGTTTTCTATTAATAAATAATAATTTCAATTTTAGGATTTTAATTTTAATCCAATAAATACCTTGGTACATCTTTAGTACTTTCGCTGTAGGGCTTCCAAAAAAAAACGGTATGATTTTAAAAATCTTGACCAGACACGGTCTATTTTAAAATATGATAAAATTATATCCATTATTTAGTTAGAAAATCATAATGAAACGTATTAATATTCATTATTTAAATTTTTGAAACAATTTGTAAAATATAGCAAAAATTATTCAAATTAAAAATTTAAGACCGGGCCGTAAAATGATCAAAAATAAAAATCCGAGCAGGGCCAAAAGATTAAATAAATTCCGGGCTGGATTTGAATATGAAATTTTTTTTCCAAATCTGGGCAGGGCAGGTCTCTGATAAATATACAAACAAGACTATACCATAAAAATAAAAACAATCTTAAAATGAATTACAAAATAATATTTATAAATTCTTTTGTAGCACTCCCTAAATATTCACACCTAAATTATAAGTGAGCCACTCCATGCTTGTATTCAATTATTCCATCAGCGTTGTTAACTATACTTAACTGATACCTATACAAATGCCAAGATACTGATTCTATAAAATTTAATATTTTGTTTTATTTTAATAGTTTTAATATACGTTAAAATAATTAGATATTTTTTAAATTTGAATTAAAGAGATATTTATCTTGTCTCGATACTAACCCGTAAATTTATGATAAGAAATGATACATATCGATGCTAAAAGTGTACAATAAAAAGTATCATATATAGCTATAAATTAGTGATCTACAATTCCCGACCGGGCAAGAGGTCGGTGCGTTGAATTTTTAAAATATAATATTATTCAATTTTGTGAAATATTTTAAAATTCTTGTATGAAACAAGGCGCTAATATTTTTTATTTGTAGAATATTTTCTTTTACACTTGAAAAAATAATAAATATTTCAATAAATTCGGGCCGGCGGACGAATAATTTTTATATTTGGTTGGGCGTTTTGGGAGAAATAAAAAAAATTTGCCTTTAGACAAATTTTTGGACTGCATCAAGCTTGAAAAATTAGCCCCTCACTGCTATTAAATAAAAAATATACGTTAAATTAAGTATATTCTAAATGCTAATAAAAAAAAGAAAGTTAATCTTTGATAGCAGCTATTAAAGAAACATCTCCAAAAATTTTACATTATGCAGTATTATGAATTATAATAAGAGACTTTTATTTTTAATAAAACAATTAAATTTATTTTTAAAAAAAATAACGCAATCTTAAATTATCTATTTTATTAATTCATATCTTTTATTACTATAATCGATTATTTTAAAAAATTTACAAAATCAATTATATAAAATTTATAATTTAATTAATAACTATGCTGAGTACTTGAGGCCGTCTAGGGTCTAAAAATATTATTTAGGCCCGATTATTTTTTAAAAAACGGACCTAAAAAAATCTAAAAATAGAAAATGCTATATAACTCGAATTTTTCATGGATTATTACAGAAAATTTAGTGTTTATTTAATATAAAAATGTGTTTAAATAAAATTTTAGAGCCGAGCTCTAGACTAAAAATAAATAAAAAATTAGGGCCGGCCTCAGATTTAAGAGTTAATATAAATTTCGGGCCGAAAAATTTAATTTGTCGAGCTTTACTGAGTGCTACGGAATTATTAAATTATTATAATTCCTACCCAGGTGGGTGGAAAACCATTTTAATTTAAAAAAACGATGGTGTAAACGCCTAAATTTTAATTTGAACTATATAGAACATAACTTGACAAAAAACCAATCTAAGTCCTCAAATAAAAAAAACTAACCAGAAAATTTTACGAATTATATAATTTTCGTGAGTTTTAAGAGATACGAAATATGTCCCGAATCTTCCATTAAATTTTCAAGTTAAATTTTCCATTTAAAATATTCAAAATGTCTGATGTGAATTTTTTTAATATTATTTGATATTTGTCTCGCAAAAATTTCACAAATGATAAAATGATTTAATTTTTACAATTCATAAAACTTTTAGAAATCACAAAACATTCGCTAATTAGAAAAAATCATTTGGGCCAATATTTTATTACATTGAAAATGGCTTTGTTTTTTCCCTTTGAATTAGCTTATCGAGATTTAATTTTTTATATTTAGACATAGCCTTATAAATATATTGCTAAATCATTTTTATTCAATTACAAAAAAAGACAATCTAGCACTTATAAAATTTTTTTTTTAATTTATCCCTAAATGGACAAATTTTTAAGATTTATTTAATTTTTAAATGAGGTAAAAGATAATCTAATCTATATCTATAAGTCGTTTTAGAAGACATCGGAGTGTGAAAAAAATGATAATTACAATTAACAATAATAATTTTCATATTCAGAAAAATTTTTGCAAGAGAAAAAGGAATTTTAATTTTATTGAATAAGGTAAAGTATCTTTTTGAAATAATAAAGGTAGTGTCCGGTTAAATTCTTGAATCCCATCTCCGACATTTAATGAATGCCATTCTTCTTAGCATAGGAAAAGGTTTAAACTGAAATTTGGCCTTTATCAAATATCTTAAGGCCATCTTCTTATGACAATTACTTTCTGTAATAGCAAATATATTGGTATATATTTTTTTAGCTTATTATTTTTGAAAAGCGATGAATATGCATGCATTTGTAAACCTAGTCGGAGGGGGGGGGTGCTTTTTTAAAAATAATATTGCACACTTTTTTACATAATTTTTTTCTGGAAAATTAATATAAGTGTCATTGTTTGGAAGATCATTTATTAGCCTAATGATATTTACAAAAACTTGCAAAATCTTCCAAGTCTTCCCCTAGCTACGCCTATGCTATTTAAATTAAACCATCATTTTTTATTCATATTTTTTAAATGCTCGCACGCATATGCTTGTTAAACATTATCGCGTCGGTGTAGCAAGATACAAGTAATGCTATGAACTCTATTATTTTTCACAATATTACTCCATTAATGATTTTATTTATTTATATAAGTATTTATGACTAGGATGGACAGGAATGAACACCTGACAAATCAAGATCTTTAAATAAAAGACGCAATGGTTGTTGATCTTCATTTTAATAATCAAAATTAACTTGAAATTCCTCAACAAGATTTCATTAGATTTTGAACCATAAATATTTAAAAAAATGAATCAGATTATAATCTAATGAACACCTAATCGGCTCGGCCCGAACAATTTGTGCAAAATATTTATTACTGGGCTATTATTTTAATTAATTTTTTAAAAGGTTAGATTAGAGTTTATGGCCTTTTTCCTTACAAAAAAATTATAAAGGGCCCGATCAAAAATTTATGTGGGGCGGTTCGGGCCAGGCCGTGTCGACCTTAACTTAATTCATGCATATAAATTTGACACATGGACCTTGGGAAAATGTTAAAATCAATAACAATAACATCCATCCTTAATTCATCGATTATTGAAAATAATTAAAGTTACAATGCTATACAGCTGTTAATTATCATCAATCAATAGCTTTATAAAATTAAAGTTTTTTTAAATTTATTTTCAATTGTGTTTAATAAAAATAGAGTAGTTAACGATTAAAAGTTGGGAGTTTTTAAAAAAAAATATTATAAGATAGAGAAAGGTTCAATACATAACATAATATGATCTTTAATTGTAAGCCCTTCATTCATAAATTGTTACTCCACTAGGAATAATAAATATTATATTTTTTTAAAATAATCTTGATTGTTGATTCTCGTTGCAAAATCAGAAAACGGATTATTTTTTCAATATTATATTAAAAAAATATTAGCATTTGTGTTATTTCGAGAAATTCAAATAATTTTTTCATATCATATGAAAAATTTAAATAAATATATCTCATTTGATATATAAAAAGATCTAATCAAATTAAAACCGATAATTGAATTTAAATTTCTCTAAAAGTGTTAATTTTACAAATTTTTTATTTAAAAAAAAATATATAGTCATATGAAATGAAGAAGAAAAGGATAATCCCATTTAAATTCAACCTATTATAATATGAATCACTGCCCATTTCAAGCATGATAATGGCATAGTTTTAATCTAATTAATATGTCTTTCGTTGGCTGCAATTAAAAAAAAGAGATTATTCTCCAAACGAATAAAATAAATATAAATTAGATAAAAAAATTCAACACATTTACCGTAAAAATTATCTTATATGGAAAGAAGCATAACAAAAGACTAAGGGCAGTATTCCCAATCTCAACAGTATTATCAAAAGATAAATTGAATCACTTATAAATAATATGATTTAAATTTTTTTTAACTTGCTTCTAAAATGGAGAATGTGGTTGAAGCCGAATCTCACCTCAATATAGGAAATTCGCCTCGCCTAAAAACTATACTCGATAGTGGATTTTATGACGATAGTCCACCCGACCAGCTTTCTCTGCGTTCTTCGACATCTTCTTCGAAAGAAATACCCGCCAAAAATGTTCATAATTGCGCGAACGTTGACTTTTCCAATCGGTACCTTGGAGGTTCATATATCACCAATAATCAAGACAATTACCTAAATTATAGTAACGATATCGAGAATAGTCGAATCACCGATTCATTCTCCTCTACTAGTTCTCGGGACACTACTAGTCTTAGTTCCGGCCCTATTCTGAGCTGTAATCTTAGCGCTGATAGTACAGATGGAAGCGGAAAATATCTTAAAATTTCCGAAAAATATGGTAATGATTATTCGTCGAAATCGGTTTACGGAGGTGATCCTTCTTGCTACACGACTTTACCCCATATTAATTGGAAACGGATCGAAGATGAGCTTAATCTGTCTCGTGCCAAGCTTCATTCTTCTTATATGGTATTTTCTTCTTAATATATAATTTAATATCTCTAAAATTGAAAGGGGGGGGGGATCAAAAAAAACAATGGAATTACTTTGTTTTTTAAAGTCTCATTTAAAGTTACATTATTTTTAAATGTACCTAAATTAATTATTTATTTTTTTTCAGTTTTCTTTAAAGATTGAACTAATTTTATTTAAATGTAAACTTTTGACACTATCCTTTATTTGCATTTATTGAAGCAAGATGCCCAATATACGTTAAATTTTTTTAGCACTGTTTAATTCTTTCTAGTATATAGTTTTTTAATAAAGCCTATATTCAAGTTTTCATCTTTTTATGGTTATATATATCATCGACTGCACTGCAAATCCTTGTATCTGGCATTTTTAGTAAAGTCGATTTTTTTGCATAAATAATTTTATCATATAATTGCACCATCCATTGAAATTTCCAAATTTCAGGATAGTAACTTCTGGGGGGGGGGAGGTACGTTATAGTCAGTATCAATATTATATTTCATCAGTAGATCACATATTATTGATCTAAAAAATTTTTAACACGTTTCATTGTAGTTTCGGTTGTCCAAGAAGTAGAAATTGGTAGAGATGAAGCAATTAACGTTTTAGAAATTAATGAATTAAAAACTTGCCCTCTTTTTCAATATTAAAAAACATTATTATTAATATTTTTACCTGATTTATTATTTCTTGTTCAGAAAGTTTATGGAAACAATTCTGGAAAGGAGTTCACAATTATCATTTTATTTTATTATTCAATTAAAATTCAATATTTTTTAAATATTATCATTTTCAGTCTAATTCTGGTTTGAGGATAATTATCTTTGATTGGTTTTATTTTATACATTTCTTATTTTTTTTTGTCGATTTCAAAAATATATAAGTTTTATTATTTTTACCAATTCGAGTTTCAGAATTATCATTTATATGCGATTTTTTTACATAAACAATCTAATACCCTTAAGGTAATAATCAAAGGAAATGATGTGAATTAAGAAAAATAATAAGAATTTCCCACGAGGAAAATATGTATATAAATTGCCCAGTCAACGAATAACCAAATACTGATACTGAAAAATTATTCAAATTTGGTTAAATATCTGGAATCATTTTAATTATTAGTCTAACCAGTAATGATCTACATCGGGTCTAATTTTATAAGCCCAACCTGTCCGATCCCGAAAGAAATTATTTATTTGTTCCGAATAACCCTACCCGAAATAAAAATTATTTACCCACCCGGCTCTCAGAATTTATTTAAATATGGATATTAATTTTTTTTTCTAATATAGTTTTATATTTCTACACTTTGCATAATCGAGTTTTTGATCATTCTAAAAAAATATAGCCGTTTTGTTTCTTGAAAAAATTCTAAAAATATATCAATTTTATTTAACATATATCAATTTTATTTTAAAATATAAGCTCGGCCTGGTCCTAATTTTTTTTTTAAATATTGGGAGAAACCTACTTTTGCAGATCTCTGCTAACCAGCTTATCCTGATATTTTAAAAATATATTTGTAAAAAAACATTTTGCATCCTACTATGGGCATCCAGAGAAAGAAATTCTATGTTGGGATTAATTAATTAATTTAAGAGCAATATATAATAAATCCAATGAATGTGAATTTAGTTACAAAAAAAATGATAGTGAGTATAATTTTGTATATCAATACTTTATATCTCCTTTTTTTATCCCACAAATATTCAAATTTTTTAATAATTCCTTTAACATCCAATTCATCTTTAAATTAAAAAAATAAAGTACAATTTCGTTTCTAAAATCTGAATATTACAAAAATTACTTTCTTATACTAGATTGTTTGTTAAAAAATATAATATAACTATTAACTTGAAAACGAATATTACAAAAATATAATTTAACCCAAAAAAAACAAAACGATTTGCATAACCAAACACAATTTTACATAATTTACAACACTTTCAAGGTGACCAACCTTTGCATAGCTATACATCACCTAAGTGATCAATAAAATCCATTTTTGGCTTGACCATCTCATTGAATATTGTAGGATAAGATGTCAAATATGTTTGATTAATGATCATTACTATAACCTGATTTTACGTCAAAGTTATATCATTTTTTGGACAATAACATTTAAAAAAAATAATTGGCTATTATGTTTAATGTTAAATTTCAGAACTCCCATTATTGCCTTGTATTATATACATTATGTTGAAAAGACATTCATTATAATTTATAACCTCGTAGCAATATATTTTAAGTTTTTATTTTAATGATTCACGGAAGATTTAAATGTTAACGAAACATATGATATTAATGAGGTTGGTTTGATAATTTTGATCTTTTGATGTACACCTTAAAGAAAAGTTTAGCTATCAGAATGGCCTATAATTCAAATTGCACAATTGTGTAATATTTTTTTAGCTTATCACAAATCAATAATTATTTATAAAAATTATAAATGGACAGTTTGTCTCTGCTTATATTTTGTATGGCCTTGTTGGTTTGACAAGTTTTTGCAGTATATATTATGTATAAATACATTTTATATACCTTGATATTTTAGATTTTTAAGCGAAAACTTTACACCTTCTATATTTTTAAGTTACAAAAATTTTTTTTAGTAGATTTATTCTCATTAGTGATTTGCATCGGGCCTGATTTTTCAAACACAGCCCGGCGCGATTTAAAAAGTTTTCCGGCCGGGCCCGAACTCGATTTTTTTTTAAAAAAAATATACCGATCTGACCCGGCACGAATTTATTTAAATATAGAAATTAATTTTTAAAATTACTCAAAATAAAAGACATATGTTATATGGCATCTAGTTTCCATCTAGTTTCTATAAATAAAATCAAATATTTTTATTTTACATAAAAAATTCAATATTTAAAAAATTTCCAAGGCCCAACCCGGCCAGAACCCGATTTTTTAAAAAAAATTAGACCCGGGTACGGGCCGGGTCTACTTTTGCACATCTCTAATTCTCATATTTTTTAAATTGATGATTTCTCAACGATAATTTTATAAAAACAATCCGTTATCTCAATATAAATAGAAAACTATTGAATTTTCCAGGCTCGGTCCACAATTATTATATATTCAAAAGATCCAGATCACCAATTTTATCATATTTATATCATTTCATCTATCTATCCCCTGATTCTTTTTTAAAGAGGGCCATACGGTATGATGCGCTTTGGCTCTAATTTAGGATGGAAAATATAATTGATTTATATGGAGTTTAGGTTCAATAAAAAGTTCACCAAGTTTTTAACGCTGTAGCTTCAAGAGAGGGTCATAAGCGTATAACCCATATATGTTCTATTTGAGCACTAAACAGTTTTCTATCATTTAATACTTATAGGGGACCATGCGTTTTTGATTGAATTTATTTTACCTAGGTATTTGTTATTTTTAAGTTTAAAGTTTATATAAAAATGCCCTAAAGAAATACAGGATTTGTAAAGCCCACTGCGAACAGACTTAATTTTTTTTATTGATCACTGCGTACCTGATTTAAAATATAAATTTTAGCTCCTAAAGTTACCTCCATTGATTTTTAGAAATAAGCTTGGGTCGGGTAGACTCGGGCCTAATTTTTCAAAAATAAATTCTGGCAGGATGGACTAAGATCTAATTTTTAAATCGGAATATCTTGGCATTTTGGGTGCGGTCCGCCAAAAATGGGTTCTATACACGGCTCTAATTTTTATCCTAAAAATTATTTTTAAAATTGCATTATATTATTATATTGTTATATTAATAAAAGAAATATTTAGTATATATTTGTCTCTTGTAGAAAATCTATATTTTTAATTTTATGAATATCTATTTTTTAAACTGAAAATGATATCTAGCCTTAAGTTATTTATGGAGAACTTAGAGCATGGTGTTTAAGGTTGATAAATAAGCAATTAATTCTATAAAGAGCTCAAAAATTTTATAATTAGAGCCTATATAACATTTTATCCTCCGAAGCCAGTTCTCCCTCATTCTAAAAAAAAATTAAAGAGAAAATAAGCAAAAATGAATTCAAAAAAATCGGTATTTACGGTTAAGAAAAATTAAAAATAAATATAAATGTGTTAAAAATAGTCTCAAAAAATGGTTCATATTGCTCCGAGATGGCTTGAATTACTCTAAAGTTAGAGGTCTGCAAAGTCCGTCCCGATTTGGCTCGTTAATAATTTTTGCACAAGTTGCCCAGCCCGGCCAAAGTTTTACGAAAAGTCGACTCCGGTCTTTTAAATCTTTTTGTAAATTTCAGACAATTACATTTTTAATTTATATATCTAAATTTTTCCAAGGTTCTTATATCTCTCCTCTATGGATAGCTATCTAGTTCTATAACAACCGTTTTATAAATCAATTATGGTTTATATCTGTATTTGTAATTGGATCATATCCAAGCGTTTAGCCATGTAAATTTTTTTGATAAAATATAAAAGGGCTCAGGCGCATAGCCAGTTTGGGGGAGGGGGTATATCAAAAATTTTTGAAAAATATAAAAGGCTTCATAAATCGTGAATTGGAAGTCTTTATTTCAAATATATTCTATTCTAAATATTAGCAAAAAGTTAAAATTAATTAAATATTAATTTCTTGTATATTAATATTTTATCTAACGAAAATTTACCTTAAACATTGATTGATATAAGAAAATTTTATAAACCAAAAAAAAATCTATTTATAAAAACTGATTAGAAAATTTATAGAGTGTATGAAAGACTTCTTGTGTTACAGGAAAAAAGAATCTGCAAAAAACCTGCACGACAAAATGGAACCATCGGCATAAAGCAGGCATTTTTGAATCTAGAAGAGCCTGTTGTATGCCTTCAGAGAAATATCAGAATCACCTGAAAGTGAAATTTCATCTAAAACTGATACATAATTAGATTTAATATGGCTGCAAATTTTTCTAATTGGGATGTTTTAATATATGCAATCAATGCAAACATTGAAACAATAGACTCCTCACAAGTCATTGAAAAAATGTGGACAGACCT